TAGTATGAAGGAGGGCATGACTCCTGACCTTTTGGAGCAGATACCCTATGAATCTTGCCCTTCTAGAAACACTATCTCTGGATGCCTTAGTCAGAAAATCACGACTGTCTTGCTCTCTGTAGCATTTATTAAATGTTCAGTTAATGGATTGTACATGATAGTCATTTTTAGTTAAGCCAGTCCAGTTGATAAAATCTTTATATAATTTTTTCAAACTTCTCTAGTATTAATATTTTTCTGTTCATGAAATCTTTTTTCTGTTAAAAAAAAAAAATCTTCCTTTTTAAAAGTAAGAAGGAAGACTGAGGTTTAACAGCTTGTCCCAAGGTCACACAGCAAGCATGTAGCAGAGTTGGGACTCACACCCAGTTCTGTTTAGCTTCAAAACTCAGGTTCTTTCCTCTCAGATATACATTTAAAAAGCAGTTCTCATCCTTTGGCACTTACAGTCTGGTTGTAATAAGGCCTACCAAAAAAAGGAAAGATTTAAGTTGTAGTAGAAGAGTAGAAGAAATGCCACAAGTCCGGTTGAATTTGCTAACTGACATACAGAATAACCTGGGTTTAAATACCTGCTCTGTCATCAGTTTTGTGATGTTGGACAGGATTTGTTCACCTGTTAAGTGAGGATAATCCTCATTATAAAGACAAAGGGAAACCCAAAAAGGTAAGATAGTGATTATGGTCAGCATCTGACTCTGAACCAAATGGGTCACCTCTCTGTGTTGTTTACAGGATACTTTTTCTTTCTTTGACTCTTGGGACATCCAAGGTCTCCAGAGACCCAAGCAAAGATCTTTTAAAGGAGTCAGTTTCACAAAGATTGTCTAGAAGTACTTTTGCCTGCGGGTAAGGCATTTTTAGGAAGCTTCACCTTCTTTTTTTTTTTTTTTTCTGTTCCCTTTACAGCCTGCTTGTTAGCTCTCCGCAAGCAGTGAGGCCAAGGAGAGAAATTGAAAAAGAAAAAGATCAGGCAGCGGAACATCTGAGGTGTCGATAGTGCCCTTTTGTTGCATTTAGCTGGATGACAGTGTCTGGGGGTATAAGCTGAACTTCCCAAAACTTTACAAAATCAGCTCTTTTTTTGCTTAAATAAAGTGTGCCCCCCTCTCCCTATTGAGAGGCAATAATAAAAGCATGAGGTTTGAAGTTAGAGAAAGCCTGGGCGTTAATCCTTGTTTGGGTACTACTTCAGCAGCTTTCTGACTTTGAGATTTAACGTCTCTGAGTTTGTCTCTTCAGTTGTGAGATAGGGATAGTACCAGCTGCTTCACCCAGTAATGTGTGAGTATAAATGGGGTCATATTTGTATAGAATTTGATGCATTGTAGGCACTGAGTAAAGGATTGGTCCTTCCCCTTCCAAAAGTGGAAGGTGACCCTCTTTGAAAGCTCAAATTGCTTCTTTTGCTTTCTAGGCTAACCCTCTGTTTGATTTGTCTTTTCAGTCCTGTTTTATTTAAATCATTGTTCTCGAAATTCTCTAAAAAATGCTTTAACACTATTTTTTAAATTGTAAGGTAAGTGGACAAGGGGATCCTAATTAAATCTACTTCATTCAAAACATAGCAGAAGGATCTGTGTTTTAAATTTTTGCTTATTTATTATTTTTCATTTGTTTGTGCCAGGTCTTAGTTGGGGTGTGTGGGATCTAGTTGCCCAACCAGGGATCAAACCCCAGGCCCCCTGCATTGGGAGCAGAGAGTCTTATTTAAACACTGGACCACCAGGGAAGTCCTAGATCCATCTTGTAGAAAGGCCTTATATTCACAGGGCACATTTCATTGATATTAAACCTTTCTACTGGGTTCAATTTTTGCAGCCCTGCTTCCTGTGGGAATACAGATTAACAGATTTCGAGTCTTAGCTTCTTGTTTTGACCAATTAAAGTTTCCGGAAAGTGGTATAAAGTACAGCTGAAGGGCCTAAGTAGATGGCAGCAGTTAGAACACACAGAGACACAGATGAGATGACGTATATAACTTGTTCCACATTTTTAGAAGCTCCTCAGTGGTGTATTCTGATTTGAAATGTGGCATCTTTGTTCCTATAGGACATTTGAAGATTTTAAGTACCCAGTTCACCAGCCCAGAAGTTCTAGAAGAGGTGTGTTCAGAGATGGTAGCTCAAAACCAGTGACTGCAAAGTTAATATTAGCAGTAAGTGGGAAGGGGTGGAGGTCAGGATACACAGGCAGTGAAACAGTAAACAAATAGGGTGTTGAATGAAGCATTTAGTCTGTGGATTGTAAGGTCAAATTTGCTTTCTACTCCAAGCAATGAAAAGTAGGAATGCAAAGCACTGTCATTTACGGTTCTATGGTGTATAACGTCTCAATTTAGGCTTTTTAATAAACAGAGAAGCCTTCAGTTTGGAATTCTGAACTCTGTGAGTGTTAGTAACTTTCCTTCATCTGTGTACATCATGGCTAGATTTCGTCTAAACAGTTATTTTAAAAGTTTGTTAAAGGTTTAGATTTGCAGAATGTGTTTGAAGTATTATGTCTTTGTATACTGAAGGTCCGCCAGGCTCCTCTGTCCATGGAACTCTCTAGGCAAAAATACTGGAGTGGATTGCCATTTCCTTCTCCGAAGGATCTTCCTGACTCAGGGATCGAACCTGGGTCTCCCACATTTGAGGCGGATTCTTTACTGTCTGAGCCACAAGGGAAGCCCTTATATTGGACTAGTGGTTTTCAAAGTGTGAACCTTAGGGCAGCAGTATCAGCATCACCTGGTCACTGGTTTTAAATGCAGATTCCTAACACAATCCTAAATGCAATCCCAGACTGGGATTGGGTCCCAGCAGTCTAGTTGAACAAGCCGTCGAGATGATCCTGCTGCATATTGACGTTTGAGAACCCTTATCTTAAAATTATAGAAGATAGGGACTTCCCTACTGGTCCCATGGTTAAGACTCCATGTTGCCAGTGCAGAGGGCACAGATTTGATCCCTGCTTGGGGAACTAAGATCCCACATGCCCTTGGCATGGCCAAAAAGTTTTTAAAAATATGGAAGATAGAAACACTGGAAATGTATAAGGAGAACATTGTGTTAGTTAGAGTGTTCCACTGATTTTAGGGCGTATAAATTTTTTTTTTATTCTCAGTGGACCATAGTATAACATTTTAGTTGCTGGTATTCATTGCCTCCATGCTTTGCCCCCATCTCTGTTAGTACTCCTGTTGTAGCTGTTAACTATTCTTCATTGCCAGCTTTGTATACCCCTTGTATATAGACATAGGGGAGATTGGGACCGTGTCTGACTGGTTGTGTGGTTTTTCCTATACTTTACAGGGCCAGGTGCCTGGCCTGTCAGTTTTCCATGGTGCTTAGTGATCATACCTGTATCTGTCCCTTCATGTGCCTCACCATAGGAAGCACTCATACACTTGGAATCACTGAATGAATGAATAGAGTTCCCTAGTGATAGGAATCTTTTGGGATACTAAGGTTCTAGCTGATGAAACTGTCTTAACCTGTGAATTAAAATTACCTTGGTGCATTTTTTCCTTTAGGACACTGAGTGAATTTGGGCTAGAGAGCGTTAAGTAGCTATTAAAACACTTCCTAAGAAATGTGCTTTTAGGACTTCACTGGTGGTCCAGTGATGAAGACTCCAGACTTCTGCAGGGGGCAGAACTAAGATCCTACATGGCCAAAAGGAAAAGCAGAAAGAAAGAAATGGGCTTTAATTAGCATATTTGCACATTTTATTTTTTTTATTTGGCTGTGCCAGGTCTTAGTTGTGGCATACAGGATCTTTTTCATTGCCACATGCAGGATCTAGTTCCCTGACCAGGGATCAAACTTAGGCCCTGCTGTATTGGGAGAGAGGAGTCCCAGCCACTGGAACATCAAGGAAGTCCCTGCATTTTATTTTATTCTGTCTTTATAGCAACCTCTTGAAGGAGATATTGCCTCCATTTTACAAATGAGGACATCAAAGTTCAGAGCAGTTAAACTTTTCAGAATTCACACAACTAGTGAGTGGCAGAGTAAACCCAGGTCTTTCAAACTTTTAAGGACTACTACTATCCAAAGCACTACTGTTAAAAATTTTAATAGGACTCTCAGTTGTGTATTTAAATTAACTTTGTCTCTTCATTAAGATAGAACTTTAGGGACTTCCCTGGTGGTCTGGTGGTTAAGAATCCACCTGCCAATGCAGGGGACATGGGTTTGATCCCTGGTCCAGGAAAATTCCACTTGCCTCAGGGCAACTAAGCCTGTGCAGCACAACTACTGAGCCCATTCACCTTGGGGTTGTGCTCCACAGCAAGAGAAGCACCGCAGTGAGAAGCACAACCTCTGCCACCGGAGAGCAGCCCCCGCTCACCATGCCTGGAGAAAGCCCAAGTGCAGCAACAAAGATCCATTGCAGCCAGAATAAGTAAATAGAAGAAGAAGAAGAAAGATATGGTTTTGTACTTTTTCTTGATGCAGATTTTAATTTTTTCCAGTTTGTTTAATCCCCATTTCCTCATGTCACTCCTGTCTGTTCTTAAGAATATTTGACTGTCTCTGTAGCGGTTTCAGGTGAAAGTGGAAGAGCAAACTACCCTTATTAGAAGGAGGCTTTGAGACTTCCCTGGTAGTCCAGTGGTTAAGACTCCAGACTTCCAATGCAGGGGATGTGGGTTCAATCCCTAGTCAGGGAACTAAGATCCCACATGTGGTGAAGCAACTAAGCCTGCAAGCCAGAAAACTAGAGAGTCATGTGCAGTGAAGGATCCCACATGACTCAAAGATCATCCACATGCCACAACTGAGAGGCAACACATCCAAATAAATAAAATGAAGCAGGCTTTCGGTTTCTTAGTCAACTTCATCTAGCTTCGGTGCTGTCTCTATTTAAAATTAAGGCACTATTCATCTGAACTGTTCATTAATATTTGGCCTCATTACACAGTATTCCATCTTACTGCTTTAAGTAGACTCAGAATTTTGCCTTTATTTAAAAGAACAAAACTAAATTAAATTTCTATTTGTCCTATTCAGAAATTGAGAAGATTCAGAAAGGGGATTCAAAAAAGGACGATGAGGAGAATTACTTGGATTTATTTTCTCACAAGAACATGAAGCTGAAGGAGAGGGTTCTGATACCTGTCAAGCAGTATCCCAAGGTAAGGGAAAGAGTGCCTCATTTCTTTGAGTTGTTTTTGTAGTATGGGAGTATATAGTATGTGGTGTGTCTTGTAGGACAGGCTGTAACAAAAGATTTACAGAGATTGTGAACCTGGTAAAGGTTCTGTCCCATACTTGTAATGACTGTATCTAGCAGTTGAAAATACAGGTCCATAACTAATAGCATAGCTATAGCCAGGAAGGAAATATGATCATCTTTTTATTATAAAAAAAGGAATTTCCTTCTCAAATGTTTGTTTAGCTTCCAAGTTTAAAGGAAAAAAATTGAACCCTAATTGTTCTTTGTCAAAAGATTGAGCTGAAGTTTAAATGAAGGAAATACAACACAAATCCTTGTGACACAATGAATAAGTTAATTTTATTTCTTACTCAAAGTTTTTTTGCTCTTGTTTGTTTTTGACTTGTGCTGTACCACTTGTGGTATCTTAGTTCCCTGACCAGGAATGGAACCTGTAACCCTTGCAGTGGAAGCACACAGTTTTAACCAGTGAACCTCAAGGGAATTCCCAAAGTTTCACTTTTAAATAAATGGTTTCTACTACTCCTTTTTGTTTTTTTTTTTTTTGAAAACAACTAGTTTTAGTCAGTCAGACCAGTACTACCAAAGGATACCATATGTCTGTTCTGTTCTGAAGTAACTGCCTTAAAAACGTCTGTGTTTGTTAAATTACAAAGAGCTGCAGTGTGATGATATGGAAAGAGCCCCACACTGCATCAGGAAATTCAAGTTCTAGAGCTGCCACTTTGCAGTTTTGTGCCATGCCATGCTCAGTTGCTCACTCATGTCCAACTCATTGTGACCCCAGTGACTGTAGCCTGCCAGTCTCCTCTGCCCCTGGGATTTTCCAGGCAAGAATACAGGAATAGGTTGCCATTTCCTCCTCGAGGGGTCTTTGCAACCCAGAGATCGAACCCGCATCTCCTGCATTGGCAGATGGATTCTTTACTCCTGAGCCACCCAGGAAGCCTCTTTCCAATTGTATAACCTTTGGCTAATCAATTTTATCAGTACCACTTCAGTATATCCTTCAGTAAAATGGGAATGGTTAGTACTCTACTTACTTTACAGGATTATTGAAGATAAATAATACATGTAGAAATATTTTATAGGAACATATACATTTAGAAATCTGTCTTTATTTTCTATCAGTTCAATTTTGTGGGAAAGATCCTTGGACCACAAGGAAATACAATCAAAAGACTGCAAGAGGAGACTGGTGCAAAGATTTCTGTGTTGGGAAAGGGCTCGATGAGAGACAAAGCCAAGGTAAGCTCATATTAATGAGGCAAGAAGACACCCTAATGCCTTCCAGTAGCCTAGAGTCCAGTATGGATACCTTATGGAAGCTAGTTCTTATGTGTGTACTGAAAGTGATTCCCTTAAATTTACATGGGATGTGAGAGATTATAGACCAGTTAATTTACTTTGGCAACTCCAGAAGAACCTTGATATGCCCTGGTAATTGTTTTCTTTCTGACTTCACTGTGTAGTAATGGAAATAGCAGTAGCAGCTTTGGCCTTAATAAGCTTATGTAGGAAAACTTGGAAGGGGAGGCTGAATGTACTGAAACCCAGACTAAAGACACTAAAATGTGAACAGCATTCTGTTTCCAGTTAGTGTGGAAAAGTGTGACCAGTAGTGTTGTGAGTGCAGGTGAGTTTGAGGATTAGTTGGCTGGTTGGTTTTATAACCAGCTGGAATGTGAGGCGTGCTAAAGGAAGATGTTACAGAAGGAACCATGAGTAATCCTGACAATAGAATCCAGAGCTTATTTTTTCCCATGCCACAGCCCCGTATTCTTTGTACTCAGAGTCTCTAAGTGTGGAGAAACTTCCCACCAAAATAGAATAGTCTTAGCTTTCTAGAATCAGCTTTTTAGATGAGACATAACCTGCTCCAGCCTAAAAACTTAGTGTTTCAGGCCTCCTTGTATGCAGCCTAATTGATGAACATTTTCTCAGACCCTCTTCTTTTTCCTCCCAACATTTCTCACTGGATGAATACAATTAGAGCTGAAGTATAAGACTCTATTTAATGAGATGTACATGAAATTTTCTTCTCTCTGTCCTGCCTTTTTTCCTTCTCTATGCAAGCAGATCAGAAGAGCTGGTGATTAACAGCTCTACCTGGGATTTATTAATAAAAGCAAATGCTTGGCAATTAATGAATGAATGGATGGATACTTGGCAAACAGCTGTTATCTGAATGGAGACTGGAATTAAGTTTGTCTCTTCTGTACCTTCTAATAAGAGCTCCCATGAATACACCAGCCATTCAGAACAACGGTTAGCTTTTAGCAGCAGACCAATTGCAGGTTTAGCAGACTGTGTAAATTGCTATACTCCAGAGTTTGTTTTACTTTTTTCTTGCACTTTACTGGGGTCTTTTTAGGTGTTGGAATCATTTCTTACTGTCCCTTTGGCCTAATGGTAAAGGTGTCATTTTCTCCATAGTCCAAATGATGATGATGTTTTTGTGCATTTTTCCACAGGAGGAAGAGTTGCGCAAAGGTGGAGACCCCAAATATGCCCACTTGAATATGGATCTGCATGTCTTCATTGAAGTCTTTGGACCCCCATGTGAGGCTTATGCTCTTATGGCCCATGCTATGGAGGAAGTCAAGAAGTTTCTAGTACCAGTAAGGAAATCCATATCCTGTATCATTTGAGCAAGAGAAACTGGGATCTTGTGCTTATTGCTAAGGCAGGGGTTCTTAACCAGGGTCTCTGCATAACCTGAAATTGCATATGCAATTCTTCATTTATGTTCATTTTTCTGAGGTAGTTCATTACATGTACCTAGTTCTCAAACCACTGTGCCCCGAGGCCATTCTACCACTCCTGGTCTGATGTGATTTTAGTTGTATGCCAGTATCTTTTGTCAGTATCTTGGATCTACAGTGTGTCTTGCATTCTAACATCTGGTTAACAAAGATTTAACAAGGTCTTCAATAAATTAAGTATTTTGGAGCTAGTATGGAACAAGGAGGTTATGATAAGAAAATGATGAAGGTAGTTGTAACCCCCTGCACTTAAGGAGTTATAGCATAGACTCCTGAAAGTCTAGATGATGATAAACAGCAAGAAGTGTTATCTGGCCTCCAGTGTTAGTGGGTTAAATTCTGACCTGGGTGCATTCAAGACTGTATCCTGGAGGAGTTTACTCAAGTAAAGTTGATTTGAAGGAGGCATGATGGTTGTAGGCTTAACTGTTGATGACATTAAACAGATTGTTGTATAGCTTCTTTCCGAATGTAATTAAGGCCTTGGAAGAGTTAGAACAGACCAGGTTACCTGTCTTCCTTATTTCCACCTGGTCAGAGGTTATTCATTCTTTGAATAAGTAGGAAATGATGACTTTTTGCCTTTTGACAAGACTTGGTAGTTTTCAGAGTTAACATACTACTTACTGTTCAATATTTAATAACCAAAGATGACTCTGGAACCTTAGGAAGCATTTGGAGTACTATTCAACTAGAATTGAGTAAGCATTATAGTTTCATCACTGAGAAGAGATGATACATACTTCTTTGTTTTCTTATACATGTAAAATGAGGGAGTTGGAACTGTCAGAGGATGTGAGAATTGGCAGAGCAAAAATTTATAGGCAGTGTGTCTCTAAAATGCTGAGCTCCAAGGATTCCAGCACTGTCTCAAATGTCTAAGCAGCTGCTTTGCTTCTAAGTATGTCGTCATTAGAATGTTCAACTTGAAACAGCATATTTAAAATATCCTAGAAAAAACTCAGAGCTGGTAAATTTTCCCTTGAGGGACTTCTTTACTCTTTGAGGTGTGTATTGAAGTATCCTGAGTCATCCGTTTTCTGAAGAACTGCAGAGGCATGCCCATCTTCTCTTTATCATTAATCTCAGCGTATTTCTGAAAAGAGCTACATCTCAAGGCTTCCATGTAAGTGGGCCTTTAAAAAAGAAGCCTACCAAGGAGATCTGGGTTTCCTCAGTGTTGCTATGGCAGCTAGAGAAATCTAAGCAAATGGCCCATCATTGGTCACTTGATTCTTTAATGTGAGTCTCAAGCAGTAGAAATGTGTAAGGTAGGAAGAGGTGAAGAGTCATGGGGTAGAGGGAGCATCTCTGTGGCGACTAGAATCTTCTAGAAGCTGTATACACCTGGGATGTATAAAAGTGCACTAAGTATTGAGACTGAATGACTCTCATCAGGAAATATATGAGAAGATTTACAAATGACATTTGACTCAGTTCTTCCTCCTTGTGAAGAAAACAAATGAGCCTGTTTTTGCATCCATGACCAGAGCCTTCTGTTTTCCCCTTAGAAACTGGTACAGTAGGAAGAGCACTGGGCTAGGCGCTTTGTCTGAATCATCTTGGATAATCACTTTTTTGAGCCTCAGTTTCCTTGTCATCCCAAATATTTGTTAAGTATCTGGTAGGTGTTGAATACTATGCTTGGGTCTGAAGTTACAGAAATGGCTCTTGAAGAGCTTATAACCTAGTGAGAAAGACAGATAGACGTTTTTAAAATGATGTGATAAGTGCTTAGAGAAAATTACATTGTGCCGTGGGAAAAGAGGAGTGAGGAGCTGCCATCAAGAGAAAGTTTTTCTTTTTCTTTTGAGAAAGTTTTTCAACTTACTTTTGATTAAATCGTGTAAGAATTAGAGTCCTTCAGGTGGACCCAAAAAGGCAATAATATATTGATTAATTGAGACATTAATGATTCAGAGCCTAGATTTTGGAGATAAGTAATTCTGAATTAACATAGAATCTGCCACTCACTAGCTCTATGTCTGTCCTTATATTGATTGCTTTATGCTTTCTGAATCTGTTTTCCCAGATGGGAAGATCTGTCTACTTCAGGATTATTTTGAAGATTAAACTGAAAACCCTATGTAAGGCTTATTATATGGTACCCAGCTGTAGAGCTTAATTAATGGTAGTGGCTTTTATTATTCCAGGAAAAGGAAACTGTTTGCAAGAATGGATGTGTATGAGTATGCCATGTTCTGAACTGCAGGTGTTCAGCATGGCTTGAAAGGAGGTTATACATGGATAGAGGATGGAAGTGATCTGGAGAGCTAGGCAGGGACCACATCATGAAGAACTTCATCTGAATGATGAGGGGCCTACCATCAAGATTTTCCTCAAAGAGGTGACAGGTAGCGTGCCATTTGACTTCAGAGAATGAATAATCTGAGATTTCATCTGGGCTTTCAAAGTTGTTCTTCATATCCAAGGCTCATGTGGGCTAGATGACTTCTCAGCACAAGGTAGAGATGTTGCACAATACTCCTTCTCATTATCTTTTATCCACAGGATATGATGGATGATATCTGCCAGGAGCAATTTCTAGAGCTTTCCTACTTGAATGGAGTACCAGAGCCCTCCCGTGGACGTGGGGTGCCAGTGCGAGGCCGGGGAGCTGCACCTCCTCCTCCACCTGTTCCCAGGTAAAAATAATAGAGACAGCTAGAAATGGGATGTAAATTTGACTGCTAGTGCCATGTCTGTCTTACTGCTGCTCTTATTTCCAGCTTTGAAGGGGTCTCCGGATGTGTATGTTGCATCAAGAGTGGAGTTCTAGGGTGTTCCTTGGTGGTCTAGTAGTGAGGATTTGGCACGTTCACTTCTGTGACCCAGGTTCAGTCCCTAGTCAGGAAAACAGATCCTGCAAGTCATGCGGAACAGCAAAAAAAAAAAAAGTGGAATTTTAGATCTTGGTTACTTTGGCTGTAAGCAGGTGCAGCAGTCCTGCTGAAACTTTTTTTTTTTTTTTAAACTTTTGAACAGTTTTCATCATTTTAAAATGGTCTCTGACTTTAGAATTTTACCTTTGCTGACTGACCTTTATGGACTATTCAGACTCTTCAGACAGATTCTCCACTAATAATATATTAGCAGGTCCACCATGGGCCTGGGGAACCTTCCGGAATGGGTCCTTTACCTACCTACACATTCCTCTGTGTTTTTGTTTTGTTTTGGCTGTGCTGCACAACTTGTGGGATCTTAACTCTAGGACCAGGAATTGAACCCTGGCCACAGCAGTGACAGCACTGAGCCTTAACCACTGGACCCCCAGGGAAGTCCCCATTCCTCTGTTTTGAAGGCATCATAAAATCTCCTACCTAGCTCCAGAATTTTAAGACAAGTCTGGACATGACCTATTTATTAAAAATATCCATTTAAAATAAACTCTTTAAAAGAAATAAACTCTTTTTTGCAGGGGCCGTGGCGTTGGGCCACCTCGGGGGGCTTTAGTGCGTGGTACACCAGTGAGAGGAGCCATCACCAGAGGTGCCACTGTGACTCGAGGAGTGCCACCCCCGCCTACTGTGAGGGGTGCTCCAGCTCCAAGAGCACGGACAGCAGGCATCCAGAGAATACCTTTGCCTCCACCGCCTGCGCCAGAGACGTATGAGGAATATGTAAGATGTTTGGACAGCGTGCCATTTCTTAACAGCTAGCAGGTCGTCACAGGAAGTTGAGTGACAGGGCCTTGGCCCTTGATGTAGGTGGCAGGAACTGCCTATAAGGTTTAGAATCTGCCCTCTTCTGTTGCAGTGATTGTTAAATTATGAGAGAAGATTTTTCCATTTTAAGTATGATTTACTGTATACATATGTAGATGAAACAGGAAATAAGCTGTGCCTTGATGTTTAGTGTTTTACTAAGGGGACTCCCCCTACTACTACTGATAATGCTGATTAAGTTCAACCTTGAACCTTGTTTTGCCCAATGAAAGGGTTTTTTTAATTTGATTGATCGTTTTCTTTTTTTTAATTCTTTTTTTCTTGACTATTCCGCAACAGATGTTAATACTTCGGAGGGAAATTCCATGTTCTGTTCATTCAGAAACCCTCCATATTACCTTACCTACTTTGTGTGATTCTGACTTTTTCTATTTTATTTTGTTTGTAGGGATATGATGATACATACGCAGAACAGAGTTATGAAGGCTACGAAGGCTATTACAGCCAGAGCCAAGGGTGAGTCAGGCAGTGGAAGTGCTGTTGCGTGTCCTTGGGATATAGAGGGAGTTGGAGGAACTGAGAGATTTAGGCAGCACAATTCTAAGGAGCAGATGGCTCACCTTTTCAGGGTGTTGCCTCTGCTTTTGACATCTGTAAGGCACACACTTGGATCTGCACATTTGGATAACTGTGAATCTTAAATTATAATGTAGAATCTGCGGTTAGCACATGAAAAATTCCTTAGCTGTGACTACATGGGAACAAAGGGAAAATGCCTTAAAATTGTTTTGATTTGTTATTTTAAAATGTCACAACTACATTAAAGTTGCATAGAAGTTTAAAAGGGTACTAGATTCCCACTACTTAACTCAGGTTCTTTTCTGCTCTTTTTTTAAAAAGCATTTTTTTTGTGTATGTGTATATATGTATCTTAACTGTGATGGGAAAGGCCTCTCATAATTCTGCAGTGGGGACAGGACAGTTCTTTTCATATTTGCTTATTCTCTTCAAATGAACACACATGTGAATGCATGTGTGTACACTGGTTAACACTGAGCTTTTGGGTTCACTTTAAATTGAGCTTTTTCACTTTAAATTGTGTACTATTCATTTTTCTTTGCTGAAGTTGTCATAATTTTTAAATGAGTATCTAGTATATACATGTTTTGGAAATATTCTACAGTCTGGAGATTGGGGTGGAATGAACATTTTTGGTTTGCTTTGCACCCTCAGTAAGATGATTGACATATGGAAGCATTTGGGGGAGAGGTAAAACTGGAACATGGTTGCTGCATAGCTCTAATGCTCTGTCTTTGGCTTTCAGGGACTCAGAATATTATGACTATGGACATGGGGAGGTTCAAGATTCTTATGAAGCATATGGTATGTCTTTATTTCTGTGGTGGGACAAAATGTGCAAGTAAGTGCCCAGGAGAATGCTGGTGACTGGATTATTGGGGGTCAGGCAGTCATACACCTAAGGAGAAACCTCATAAAAAGATCAACATGTTGATGTGACACTAGAACCTGCTCTTATTTAAATCGTGTGGTATGTAGTAGAAAGAAAGACTATTGAAATGGGTTAGGTGTGCTGTTACTCTTGGCTGGCTAAGCGGATGTCCTAAACTAGTGCTAAGGTCCGTGTTGGCTGGTTGGAGCAGCAGGCTTTTCAGCTGATGCTGACTTTGTTTCTGCTTTAGGCTGGGAGATGGCCAGACCTGGGTTATATTGCTGAGCCTTTGCTACAAGATACCCATGCCACATTGATGGATAATAAGAATGGAATCATATGCAACTTTTCTGACCCACCTCATTTTTAAAAACAATTTTGGATCTCAGTGTAAAGAATCTCAGTGTAGAGGAAGTGCTAGGTGAAAGAGCCCTAATGACTAGAGCAGTTTGAGAGCAAGAAGAGTGCCTGTTAGATTAGAAACTGGGGACTGGAGCCAGTTTGAGACAGTTCAGCTTCCTTACTGTCTTGGATACATCTCAACTTAGTCCTTAATTCCAAGATTGCTGTAGATGCTGGAATGGCAGCAGGACCAAACTGCCTTTCCTGAGGCCTGGTTGAAAACACATTGCTCAAGAAGTATCCTCAGGAGCCAGTTATGGCCCTGTGATAATGGGCCCCAGAGGGAGTGCCATGTGGCAGGAGATGCAGAGAGAGCAGCCTTTTAAATATGAGGTGTTTCCAGGATACTTGTGGGAAGTCCAGAGACCTTGGCAAGGGACTCAGCAGTTGACAATTTAAGATAGTAGTTGACATTCTCCCTTTTACCTACTGAAAAGAGGAAAGAGCCTCTTAGGGTTCCCACAGATAGACTCCTCACCTCCTCAGCATAGTATGTAGCAGCCAGTAAGCTGCTTGTCCAGGGGAACAGTTTTTACCAGCCCTAGCTAAATGGTCCTGGACAGTTGCCATCTGTAACACTACACTGCTCTGCTCATATGCCACTGTTTAGAAGGGTGGTATGATTGCCCCAGGGTATTTCCCATCATCCGTGAGCAGTACAGTGGAACCTCTGTAAGTGTTTGACTAAATTACATTTCTGTTTTGCTAGAAAAAAGACTGCACTGAAACAGGCAGGCTGCTCCTTGTGCTCCTGGTATGATGCTGCCAGGGTTAATCTGTTCTGATTTCTGCCTTTATAAACAGAGTAGAAAAATATACTGTCTTATTGGTACCCAGAAGTCACTTAGAAAGTGATGGACATATCTGTTGTACTAGAGGTATAAACAGGCTTAGATAGCAACTTTACATCCATGTAGGGGTTTTAGACCTAGAATGATGGAAGCAGATGTTTGTGAATTCAAGCAGCTAGAGAAATAACAGGACTGGATAAAGTCTGGGGGTGAGCGGAAAGAATAAACTTAGAAACACAACTCATGTTCATGAGAGGTCAACTCTAAAAGTACATGATTGTTTTTGCTATAGGCTTTTCCCCGTCACAAAGGAAAACCATTTGAGGATAGCAGTCATGTTGTCTAGCTTTTCTGGACTATTCCACAAAAATGAGATAATGAATTCTCCTAATGAGTGCTGTTGACACATTTGATTGTACTTCCCACCACCAGAGCAGTGGGCCAGCTGTGCTGGTGGAAGGTTCTTGAAGCGTGGCCCTTGCTTGCTCTTCCCGGGGAGCCAGAGGATCCTTCTCCACGGGCAGATCTGACTTGCTGTCACATGGAGAGGGAGCTGCCTCTGTCGCTTCCAATCTGGGAGACTTCCAGAGCTTGTCACCGTACTTGAGGCTCTCTCCTGACCTTCTTTGGAAATAGGAAAGGGCATTGCAGCCCCAGTGAGATTGATTTCCTCACTGTCCGTAGCAAGGTGTTGGGTTTACCCAGGTTTAGGGGCTGGAGTATAGATCATGCATGTTGCCTATGGACAGCTTCTTTCCTGGACATCACCCCAAGTCCTTTCTGAGCTGTTTCCTTCTGGCCATCCACTCAGAACTGCCCTGTACCCGGGAAGTTGCCTAAGCTGCTTGGGAGGGAGGGCCAAGCAAAGTAAAAAAGTAAGAACCACAAAGGAGGTGGCAAGGCATTGGAAGCAAAGCAGCATGTTTGGTGATCTTTACCAAGTGACCTACACCTGCCCATTCCAAAATGCCATTGGCACATGGTTTATAAACTGTTCTTGCTTTTCCCCACAGGCCAAGATGACTGGAATGGGACCAGGCCGTCACTGAAGGCCCCTCCAGCTAGGCCAGTGAAGGGAGCATACAGAGAGCACCCATATGGACGTTATTAAAAACAAACATGAGGGGAAAATATCAGTTATGAGCAAAGTTGTTACTGATTTCTTGTATCTCCCAGGATTCCTGTTGCTTTACCCACAACAGACAAGTAATTGTCTAAGTGTTTTTCTTCGTGGTCCCCTTCTTCTCCCCACCTTACTCCATTCTTAACTCTGCATTCTGGCTTCTGTATGTAGTATTTTAAAATGAGTTAAAATAGATTTAGGAATATCGAATTAATTTTTTAAGTGTGTAGATGCTTTTTTCTTTGTTGTTTAAATATAAACAGAAATGTACCTTTTATAATAAAAAAGAAGTTGAGTAAAAAAAAAAACACAAACCTGTTAGTTTCAAAAGTGACATTGCTTGCTTAAAGGTTCTGAAGTTAAGGCTTGTTAACTTTCTCTTAGTTTTGATTTGAGGCATCCCGTAAAGTTGTAGTTGCAGAATCCCAAACTAGGCTACATTTCAAAATTCAGGGCTGTTTAAGATTTAAAATCACAAATGTTAACGGCAGTAGGTGCCACCATGTAAAAGTGAGCTCAGATGTCTCTAAAAATGTTTCCTTTATATAAAAAAGCACATGGCGGTTGAATCTTAAGGTTAAATTTTAATATGAAAGATCCTAATGAATTAAATAGTTGATGCAATTTTTAACGCTAATTGATTTAAAAACAAAACAAAACAAAATTAGGTTCGTAAAACTGAATTTTTCATTATGTGGGTTTTGAAATCTAGCCCCAGACATACAGTGTTGAGAGATACTTAGCGGGAAGTAGTTTCTAAAGAGGTTGATTTGGGGAGAGGGGCTGGCCACTTGAACTGAATTTGATGCAGAGCTTTTTAGTCATGAACAACCTTTCAGTAGTAATTCTAATAATGAACATTTCAGTATTTCAAAAGACAAAGTATTTTGTCCATCTGAGATCCTACACTCCATGAAAAACTCACTTGGACACTGGGGCCAAAAGCTGATGATATCCTTAAGTTGACGGTTGTCAATATTGAACTGTTCCCAAGGAAGTTAGTCAAGTATGTCTCAACACTAGCATGATATAAAAAGGGACACTGCAGCTGAATGAAAAAGGAATCAAAATCCACTTTGTACATAAGTTAAAGTCCTAATTGGATTTGTACCGTCCTCCCATTTGTTCTTGGAAGATTAAATGCTACATGTGTAAGTCTGCCTAAATAGGTAGCTTAAACTTATGTCAAAATGTCTGCAGCAGTTTGTCAATAAAGTTTAGTCCTTTTTTAATCAAAGTAAATGTGATGAATTGTCATTTTTTTGGGTGGACAATAAAATAGTTTTCTCTTTCAAATAAACTTAAATTAACTCTAAAGTTAATGGGCTTGTTAAAAGTTGGAGACATTCTTAAAAGTGGTTGGGGGGGATTTTATTTTAAGTTTACCAAAAAAAAAGTTTATGAGTTGTTAAGTTTTAGTTTAAAAATAACCAAAGCTTTTTCACCCCCTGGAAGTTGTTAAAAGAAGTTTTATCCAATCCTTATCACAAGCTCTGATTTCTGGAGAGAAGAATCAAACTAAGCTAAAACTTGGATTGGTTTCCATACATAGGCCTCAATATTTAAAGTGCCAGTCACCCTAGTTTGCACCTTTTGTAGAGCCCCTAGGTCGCCCTAAGTGTGACACCAAATCATCTCTGTGAGCTTGGAAAGGGATAGCACTTGTCTTTAGATGATGACAATTCAGCAAACCCTGGGTGCCCTTAAGGGTTTCCCTTCCAATCCCAGAAATGCTGTTAATAAAAGAACTGGGCTGGGGCAGGATCTGGTGTGAAGCCTGGCTCTGAACCTTCTGAGACCAAGAGAGGAAATGATGGAATTGGTTGACCCTGTTTCCGCTCCTCTACATTAATTCTTAGGGTTCCCATACCTTCCCTAAGGGAGCAACCTAAACTGCTCGGGGGTGAAAAATCCTCTTGTATGAAGTGCCAAGCTGCCTGCAGCAGTGCATGATGGACATTTTTTTTTCTTTTTAAAACACACCAACAAAAAAAAATGTATTTGTAGATTGTGATAAAGTGTAAATAACTGAATTTTCAACCATGGTTTGAAGTCAGCTTTCAGGGCATTATGTCTTGTTTTGATGAAAAGAGATCACTCTATACCCCCCTTTTTAAAGGAAAATTATCGCAAGAGAATCAGGATGTGTAAAGCTAACATGCATCGCAAAAAACCAAAGGTAACCTAAATGTCTGATTTTAATAGCACATATTTCTCTTTTACATAAACTGTGACAGCAACTTGCATAAACAATTCTTTAGCTGTTAATTTTAATGTTAAAACTTTGCAAAACTTGTTTAATAAAAATAGCTGTAAAAAGAAAAACCATATGCTGCCGCATAAATTAGCCATAACTCTTAATAATCCTGCCCATCACAAGTGAACTGTAATGTAACCTGGGCACAAAGTCTGACATCTTAAATGACACATTGTAAAATTTCAATGACTGTAGTTTAGATCTGCTGCTCCCCAAAGTAAAGTTTTCTGCTCAGCTATTTTAAAATGTACAAGGATTATCCCCTATTAGGTCCCCGTATTGATATTCACAATGAAATATTACGTAAAATTTCTTTAAAGTTGCATGTTTCTCTCCTGTAATGTGTAAACTGCATGCAGGATCTCTATCTTTTATTTTGTATGTGTTTAAAACTTCCTCTTCAAAATACTGATCTCTTACTTCTCCATTTTCAGGTGGTTGAAAAGTCCTGAGGCATTTCCTGGAGTAGAATGGGTAGTGAAGATCCTTGTCAGGTACGTTAAGGTGGCTTTCTATTGAGGATATTGGACTTTTATCCTAACTAAAATGGTTGTGCCAGGTGGTTTATGCATATTATAGTACATGTCAGTAGTTCATATATACAGTGATAGGAAACATATTACTTCCCAAAGCCACTTATTTCATTTAAGATAGCTCCACGTATTAAAAGTTTTCCTTCATTTTGAATGAGTCGCTCTAGTGACTTAAACTGATTCTACTTCAAACCACTGAAGGAATATCCTATCATGTATTTGAACATCATTTTCATTTATGTTTCTTTCCCAGCTTTAAAAGTTACTTGTTAGACATGCTAGATCTGATTTTCAAGAAAAGCTAGAAATGTGAATTTTATATACTGCCAGTTGTTTACCATCTGCTTAGATTTGTGTCAGTCCTTGTAAAACATCTGTGCAACCCAAATGCTGCCCATCACTTGCCAGTTTGCAGCCTCTGCAAATAGGTTAGCTCTTATTAATACAAACTAAAAGACATGTTAGGATTACTGGGTGTAATTCATATACCATACTATTCACTTGTTCAGTGTACAGTTCAGTGGTTTTCAGTATATACAAAGTTGTACAGTCATCACCACAAATCAATTTTAGAAAGTCTTTTATCACTTCAAAAAGAAATACCATGTCCATTAAGCCATTTCCCACAGTCCTCTTATCCTTTCTAGGTCTAAGCAACCATTAATTACTTTGTGTCTCTATCAACTTGCTTATTCTGGACTCTTCATAAGATGGAATTATGCAACATATAATCTTTTATGACTGGCTTCTTCCACTTGAGAATGTTTTCAAGCCATATCCATGTTGGAGCATGTTGTCAATATTTCCCTTTTTTGTCAAACACTTTTATGATTTGCATGTACTACATTTTATTTACTGCTTTGGCCAATATGAATAATGCTATGAAGATTCATGTACAGAGTTTGTGTGGACATATGTTTTTTGTGGGGTTTTTTGACATGTTTTTAATTTGGGGGGTATATATCTAGGAGAGGAATCGCTAGGTCATGTGGTAACTGTGTTTAATTTCAAAGGACTGCCAAACTTTTTTACACAGAGACTAAACCATTCCTACCAGCAGTGAGGTTTCTAATTTCTCCACATCCTTACCAACACTTACTATTTTTCTTTTTGTTTATTATAGCTATCTTATATGATGTGAATTGGTATCTCATTGTGGTTTTGATTTGCATTTCTCTAATGACCAGTATTGAGCATCTTTTCATGTACTTATCCACCATTTGTCTTATCTTCTTTAGAGAAATGTTTATTTAAATCTTTTGTCAATTTTTAAATTGGACTATTTGTCTTTTTGTTATTGAATTGTAATTTCTTCATATATTTTGATGCTGGACCCTTATCAGATATGTGATTTGCAAGTATTTTCTCCCATTTCTTTGAAACACAAAACAGTTTTTCATTTTGATGAAGTTCAGTTTGTCTGTTGTTTTCTTTTGCTGCTTATGCTTTTTGGTGTCATAGGTAAGAAGCCATTGTCTCTTTGAAGGACCTGAAGATTTATATCTTTTTCCTTCCAAGAGTCTTATAGTTTTAATTCTGACATTTAGATCTTTGGTCAATTTTGCTTTAATTTTTGTATATGAAGGGGGGATTTCATATCCTTTTGCATATGGATATCCAGTTGTCTCAGCACCATTTATTCAAGACTTTTCTTTCCCCCTTAAAGACCTTGGCATCCTTGTTGAAAATCAGTTGACCATAGAGGTATAGATCTATCCCCTTTGAAGTTGGTATTACTTAAACTGATTAATAAAATTTTTGGCATACAGCAGCTACTCAATAGCTGATTAGACTATTTTGGCATCATTAAGAGCTCGTCACTGGTGGGTCTGGCATTTGATCCCAGGTATGGATGACTCCAAGTCATGCCTGTAACACTGCAGGCTGCTAATGTGGAAACAAGACTGTTCTAGCTACCATGTCTGGCTGTATCCTCCAGAGGCTCAGAGGCTGAGCCCCTACATGCCTTTCCCCCACCATCAGCCTCTTTTGCTCCTCTCTCCAACTCCTTCCAGGGTGTCCAGGGTACTCTTATCAAAGACACTTGCTGCTAAAGGAACTCTCTCACCCTTCCTTATCTCGGGATGTGGCAGCATTCAAATAGCCTTAGGGTTTGTTCACTCTTGCTCTCTCTCCCACCACTTGCCACCTCCTGTCCCAGACTAAAAATGTAGGATAGCCCCAGTGACCCCCCCTTT